CAACCGCACACACACCCCACCCCCACCCAGGGTGGTGGAGAAAGGGAGAGAGAGCTATGCTTACGGATATGAGATACTGATTTGGACGAAGCAGAAAGTCAGGTCTAGCCCCAAAGGAAGAGGTCTTTGCTTTTTGCTGCTACCACAGCACACTTGCAGCTTTGCCGTGGACCCACTTGCAGGATTAAAAGAAATTGCCATTCTCTTCACCTCTGTGCCTTTTATACCACCTCCTTGTTCCCCAAATAAAAGTCATCCCCCACAGGGGTCAGTGGGAGGGAGGAGGTGTGCTCTTTTCTCAGTGTCTGGGGTTTTATCTGTATGTGGCCAGATTTAAAATCAGAGTTTTCCTAAGAGACCCATCTCACGCCCCAAAATAGTCTTTCTCTGCTTCTAGTATGATGTATAATCTTTAAAAGCAAAACCCAGACTTAAACCTTACATCCACTAGCATCTTTTTCAAGGGATCCCTGGTTCCTACATTCCTTTCACTCCTGAAATTTCTGCAACAATTACTTCGAGTGCATGTGTTTTGCTCTCCCATCTGGGTGTGGGACAAGGAGGGGGTTTGCTGAACTTCCCAATTCTTCTGTCGGCTTCCTACAGCTGTCCCCCTTCTGTCCAGTGGCACTGGCTAGAGAGTGTTGATCAAGGAAAGAAATCACCCTCAGATGGCTTCATGTAAGTAGATTCAGACCCAGGTTTCAATACACATTGAGAGAAAAGAGCACAACTGGACAGGGAGGGAGAAGACGGGGCCCCGGGTGCCCTGGGGCCCCAGGAAAGGCACTTCTTAGTTTGAGCCCAGATTTTCTCACATGGAATGATGGTATCTGCCTTGCCTCACAGGGTCCTGAGGGGATCTGATTCAATGTGCATGTGAAACACAAGGCAATAATATAAATGGACAGATATTTGCAAAAACCAAACAGTGATGACCTTCCAAAAGATCTTCCTGGCTTTATGTGGTGAACTAACCAAGCCCTGTGCTCTCTATTATGATCCCCCATAGCCATCTACTGCAGGATGAGAAGTTTCTAGAATTATAAGTGGGGGAGTTAGTATGGAGGTGTCTGTCTCTGAAATGGAAGGAATTTAGTTCACCAGTGTTTTGGGTTGTTATTTTGTATGTCCACTGAGGAACAGACTCACAGCTTAGGAGGAAAGAATAGGGTGAAAGGAATCTTAAAAATGAACCATTAGCTTTTTTATAAGACACCTAGGGAGACCAGGCTTACCTACATAAAAAGAGTGGTACGGCAGAACAAGGCCTATAATATGATTAAATAGTACACGAATAGATGGTATAAATCTTGGTTAAATGGTATGCCTGAGGAAATACAGCAGAGAAGCATGATTCCAGAAGCTACAATGAATGAGGGGAGATGGATGGTACAAACCATTGACTACATTTGAGTTGAACAATCTGGAAAAGGTACATGAACCAGAGTGTGAAGGAAACCAACTAAATGTAATCCTAGGAGCACATCCTCTTCATTAGCTTTTCTCTTCCTCATGGCCTACATAACAAATACGAAATTTACCTTCAGGAAAGGGAGTGATCTCACACATCAAGCATATGTCTAATGGAAAAAGAGAACAAACTCCATTAGAGCTTTCTTCTTTCTTCTTTTTTTTAAGATTTTATTTATTTATTTGAGAGAGAGAGAGCACAAGTGGGGTGGAGAAGGAGAGAGAGAAGCAGACTCCTAGCTGAGCAGGGAGCCCAACGTGGGGATCGATCCCAGGACCCTGAGATCATAACCTGAGCTGAAGGCAGAAGCTTAACCAACTGAGCCACCCAGGTGCCCCCATTAGAGCTTTTTTCTTAAAAATTAAAGTGAGTTTTTAGGGGGCGACTCTTGATCTCACGACCCTGAGACCATGACTCAAGTCCTGCATCAGGCTCTGTACTCAGTGGGGAGTCAGCTTGAGATTCTCTCCCTCCCTCTTCCTCTGCCCCTCCCCACCACACACACACACACACACACACACACACAATCACACACACTCTTTCTCAAATAAATAAATAAATCTTTTTTAAAAAACTAAAATGAGGGTGCCTGGGTGGCTCAGTTGTTAAGCCTCTGCCTTCGGCTCGGGTCATGGTCCCGGGGTCCTGGAATCGAGTCCCGCGTCGGGCTCCCTGCTCAGCGGGAGCCCTGCTTCTCCCTCTCCTGCTCCCCCTGCTTGTGTTTCTGCTCTCTCTGTCTCTCTCTCTGTCAAATAAATAAATAAAATCTTAAAAAAAAAAAAAACTAAAATGAGTTTTTAGTTCTCTAGAAACAAAAGTGTGGAGGGCAAAGAAGTCGGAATTATTGTTTGCTTGCCCCAAGTCCTCCTGTTGTGTGGTTTCACTGAAGGCCCACATCAGCATCTCCCTTCCCTGAGCCCAGGCAAGATTATCACTCAGACACTGGAAATGCACACAACGCCAGAGCCAGCAGGGAATTTCCACTCAAGGAACATGATGGCAAAAACCTGGAAAACAGAAAGGCCATGACTCCACCCCAGTTACTTTTGCTCCAAATCTATAGCTCTCACCAGACCATGCTGAATGAAGACAGATATCCCTTGTTTTACTTTCAATAAGACACCCATCCAAGTTAACGCCTACCTACCTGGTTGGGTGTTGCCTGAAAGATTGTTTGGAGCAGTGCTTTCTTCTCATTTGAGAATCACTGTCTTACTCAGCTACTCTTATTTTGGTAGTCTATCCTACAGCTCAGGTATTTGGGTGCAATTGAGAACCATTAGCTCAAGGTTCTGAGGAATATCAGAATAGCTTGAGTTTCTATGAGTTTTCAGGAGTTATGCAAATTTCCCAGCCAGCAAACTGGAGACCCCTCAGTACTAGGTCTAAGCTCCCAGGATTCAATCTGAGATTTGCTGGTGTCACCATCCGACCCATCAGCAACATAATTCAGAGATGTTTCCAGGGACCTGAGAGTTTGCCTAAAGCCACATGGTCACTTAGGAAATGCCTCCTCAGAACTGTCTCCAATCTGGGACAGGTCATTTAAAGCATATACCTGTCCCAGGCAACCAAAAATGTGTGGTTTTTGGTTTTTTCCTCTTCTCTTCCTGGCAGAGCAAGTGTGGGGCCCACAGGTGGGACACCCAGAGAGGCAGAATAGTGTCCTGGCCCTAGGTAATAACAAACATTTATTGGTCATTTGCTATATATCAGACACTGTCCTAAGCATTTCTGTCCTATGCATTACTGCTTTCAACCTTCACAACAACCCTACAAATAGGTACCATTAGCCCCACTTCACAGATGAGAGAACAGAGATTAAGTGACCTGTCCAGGGCAGGGGCTGGGAAGTGTGGGAGCCAGAACCCTCAGCTGGCTCAGGGCCTGAACCCTTAGCTACGATGATGCCCTGTGTCTCCACATGCTCTTTCCTTTCTGCTTCAGGGGTGTGAGAAAGTAAGAAGGGCCTCACACCACAGATCCATCGGTGATGATGGTTAAAAGATACCCATCCCAATAGATGTTAAAAGCAGCCTGGAACAAAGTAAACACTTAGGCCTGAGGACTTGCTGTGCTTTGGCCATCAGGGGAACCCCCAGCTATCCCTGAGGAGGCAATTTCTGCACGGGGGCTGTTTGCTGTGACGGGTGACAGAGAGTGCGTGAACGCCCTGACTTCCATGTGCCGAAATATTTGAGTCATGCAGAGGTATAACGTGTATTATAAACCGTTACCTAGCCTGGCAGTATTTTGTGGTTTTGGGGTTTGTTTGTTTGTTTGTTGTTGTTGTTTGAGCCTGGCAGTTTTAAACAGAGAAGAAAATTACTAGAAAACCTTGCGCCAGCATGAAGTTTCCTTTTCTGTTGTTTCCTTCTCACACTTTGTGGGGACTGAGGTTGAGAAAGAGAGACCTCATTCCGCCCTGGGTCTCAGGCTCTGTCAATTCACAACCAAACAAGGGCACAAACACCTCTTCGATCCTTTAGGACACATCCCCGTGCAGATTTCCACGCGGGGCAAGTGCCCTGCTGAGGAGTCTCCCTGTCTGGTTTACAGTGCGGGGCGGGGAAGGGGTGAGCAGGGCGCCTTCTCCCCTTCCTTCCCGACAGGGAGGGCGTGTTGAGAACTGCCTGGTGGCAGCGCTCCAGCTGCACAGCTGTGCCCCGGTCCCCACCGGGTGGAGGGAGGGCCTTGGGACAATGCAGACCTCGGGACAGCTCTGTGCAGCGCGGTTCCGCCCGTCTCAACACGCCCGTCAGTTGAAAGGTTCTTGCCTTAGTCTGCGCGGAAGACAAGAAGTAGCTTGCAAAGGAGATTTTCAGCACAGTGCATAGGGAATTAAACCTATATCAACAATAAAATTGGTCTGTGGAGTGGAAAAGCTGGAACGGTGCTGGCGTTCCCTAGGCAACAGGCTGAAAATGTTCATTCCTTAGAAAATCTTTCAACTGGCCATGGCGCTTTCCTCACAGTCCTGGTGGCTGGGCTCCGGAAAAATACTGAAGGCTATGGATAGGATGTGGTGAGTGCCAAGAGATCCCCAACCCCCCAGATCAGGATTGCTTTCCTTGTGTTTGGATTTGGATTAGAAAAGCAGACTGTGATGGCTGACACAAATAAATCCATAACTATATTGATAAACTCTTGAAATTCATTCTTGCCGTAAAAGGGAGGGGAAAAAAAAACCCTATTTGCCTCCTCTCTTGTAACCTCCAGCGCTGTGATGGAAAACTCCGTTATTCCTAAGAAATATGCAGGATGAACATATGTTGTTGTTTTTTTTCCAAGTCGATTTTATACTTTATCCTAGGAGGCTCTGTTCCATAGACTGGCAGAGTAACAACAGCAACTGGGCAGTGTGTGTGTGTGTGTGTGTGTGTGTGTGTGTGTGTGTATGTGTTCACGTGCTGTATGTGTGCTGTTTTCCCTAATTATTGCAGCATAACTTCCTCTTTGCTTTACCAGACTAAATCTCAACCATAAGACATAATGTGTAAACTTCTTGTATGTTTGCTTTTTTCAGTTCTAGGGAAAATCCGAACCGCAGTGGGCAGTGCCCAACTTCTCATGGCCCAGAAATTCTACCAGTTCAGAGAACTGTGTGAAGAAAACCTGGTAGGTAACATTCCCCATCACTACCAATTCCTAGTCAGGAGGAGAATGTGTTGTCAAGACTGGCGCCACTAAAGTAAAACTGATTTTGAACCAAATGAAAGCCCATTGGACTCTCTCACCTGGAATAGAGTTTTCTGATGAATCTTATTTCCTGCTTTTCTTAAAATTAGAAATATTTATTTTATACTTAAATAATCTTAGGGAAAAAATCCAATCAAGTTGAAACTCCATTTCCTGTTTTGTTTGGTTTTTTTGTAACGGAAATTTTTGCATTTTCCTGGCTTTCCCATGGCAGCCCTGATTTCATTATTCTTACCAAAATATGGAACAGCCTGATATTTCAAAAATAATACTACAGAGAACTATTCCGGATAATGATTTTCCTTCTGAAATAGCCCTCGGTGCTTATTTCATCATCAGGTCTCTCAGTTTTCATTCAAGGCCAGAGGTGGACGGCAGGCCAAAGTGTAGATTTGATCTCCTTGAGACATATGAATCATTCATCCTTCTTGGGACATACCAAAACCAAATAAAGCAAAACGAAGAGACAAAAACACCATTAGCATCAACAACATTTTTTAAATTGGCTGCAAAATGCAAGGGCAAGAGCTTCCTCACATACACATGCCTTTTTAAAAATTCTGCCTACTATGTCTGCAAGTGTCATTCCACAAGAATAGCTTTTATTGGTCAATTGTTGGTCAAGCTTGCTCTAAAATAAAGAACATGAAAAGCAACATGTTTTTCTTGTGGAAAGTAAAAACGTGATTATTTGCAATCTAATTGACTATGATTTTAGAGTTTTAACCACATCTTCTTGTTAACAAGGACAAATATAGGCCGAATGGGATTTATCAAGAGAGGGCTCTATCAAGAGAAAATTGAAAGCATGCAGAATTTGGTGCTCTCCATCCCTCTTCATCAGTCTTCGCTTTCTGAAACCTCCCTTTGGGGGATCCTTTCCCTCCTCCTCACACCCACCGCCCACATCTGTAGTTTGTTTTCCCCTCCCTCCACAAAAAAATTACCTGGTCCTTCTTCCACCTTCTCAGAAATTCCATTCTGGATTATGAGATAATATAGATTAGTAAATGCATTGATAAATGAATTCAACAAATATTTTATTGAGCTTTACTATGTGCCACGATCAGAATTCTTGCTAATTTGTAAACTTGCTAATGTGTCACAGATCTTAATTAACATGATTCTTGGCTCCTTAAAAGTACAAAAGTTCCAATAAAGCTATATTTCTCAATCTGGCTAAAGGATACAGGGAAGCCAATATGTACACACAGTAGGGCAAACAGCACACTTTTTAACAGAATTATAGAATAAGGGAGTATATTATGAAGTAGAACACAAACACTGCAGATTTTGAAGATGAAATCGCAGACAAGACGTTTTTGAGAACTTTGCAGATTTCTAGGAAAGGTTAACTTTGTCAAAGCCAGCTTTTGACGTTTCCCAGCCCCTGATGGGCTCACGCGCCTTAGCCAGTAGAGGACCTTAGTTCGAAATGTGGGCGAGACGTTACAGGTAGGAAGCGGAACCGCACCCCGGACAGAGAGCCACTGATGGCTGCCTCAAGTCCCGCCCCAGAAGGGAAGCCGGAGAGCCCGCCATGTGCGGGACGCCATGCTGAGGGCTTTTAATTATATGATCTGGTTAAATCCTCAGAGCGACCCTATGGAGCAGATAGCGACATTATTTTGATGACAGTTTTACAGTTGAGGAAAGTGAAGATGGAAAAGCTAAATAACTTGGCCAGGAATAAAAAATAATAAATACATAAATAATTTGGCCAGGGTCACAGGGTAAGAGGCAGAGCCAAGATGCAAATCCCAGTCCGTTTGACCTCTGTCCCTGTTTGATCTCCCCTCAACCCCCAAGATGCCCAAGATAGGAGTTCTATTCCTCACCCTCCTAGAGGGACATGGAGCTGATCAGTCATCTCCACCTCCTCTGCAGCAAGAAGCATGGTGGCCGGATGGTGGCATTACTTCGTTCTATAAAGCTGCACAAAAGTGCAGCTAAGATTGGCCACAAATGAACCGAGCTCTCCTTCCTTGAGTTCTTACCCTGAGGAGGAGAACACTTGAAAACACTTGTATATTATCCCAGACTAGACTCTCAGGCATAGAATAAATGGATGAGAATTACTTTTTCCCAACAAAACTAAACTAAGGAACCCAGCCCCCCTCATCCTTCCACACCCTCCACCACCTCTGACCTACAAGTCTGGTTCAGGCTAAGGCAAGAGCTGCAACTCCTTGTGCGTGAAATGTCACATGACCCACAGATTCTCTTTCTCTCTGCTTCCCCATCTGTCCCCTTGACGATTCAGGGGCAGAGAGATTCTTGGCGAGGAGGGAACAAATTGCCCATCGTACAGAATTAAACAAACTCTTCAGGCCTACCCAACTATCATTTCATGCATTGCTGCACTGAAACATTTTTGCCAGTAGGGCTTGTAACCTAAAACACTTTAGTAAACTCCAAAATATGAACAATTTAGTTCTTAGTTACTGGTGAGATAAAGAAGACCATAAAACTCCATTTGTGATATGCTTTGTTAAAGCGATTGTCTATTCTGAACCTAGATGTTGAGTTAACTTACTAAATGAAAAAACTCCAGAAAAATTCTTTAGTTTAATTCACATGTCAGTAGACTAGAGTTTAAACCAAATACTTACAAACTTCAGAAATTACATCTTCCAATGAATTCCAGAACTATGAGTAGTTTGAGAAGTGTAAGTTTATAAATACATTTTTATTTGTATTCATTTTGAAACCAGACCAATAATGTTAGTCCATCAAGGGCTAAAAAGTTCTTTCCGACCTATTAACTTTGATGAGCACTGACCTTGCACTTTCTGAAAGTTGGTTTTTAATGGCCTGAGGTTTCATAGTATATCAGATTGGCTTGAATACCCACAGGTAACCAAAACTGACCCAGATGAAAGCCTCTGACATCTGGATGCTCCCACCCACCTAACCATGAATACCTTTAGCTACCATTGGTGGTAGTGATTAACAATGAGCATGACCCCTTCAATCTCTTAGTTAGTTATGTTTTGTCTGTTTTACATCATATAAATTAGTGGCTCATACTTTGTAGTACCTCTCAGGGGTATATGGATGGGGCAAAAAAAAAAAAAAGTCAATCCTTAGACACTGAAGAATGTTTAATATTATCTAGAAAATGGGTCATTACAGATATCTATGTATGTTTGTAGATATGTGTCTTCACATTTGCTATTGTATGTTATGGTTGATTTAAAATGAATTCATTTCCAAATGATTTTGTCAAAGTACTTGTGTGATAAAATGACTTCCTGCATTAGCAACATCATAATGGTTAAACACATAGTACTTTAAAAATCCAATTATTTTATTACTCATCATTTGTTTACCCTATTGTTTTACTCAACCTGATTGTTAAAACAAGTCTTATTTTAGATTCCTTATCTGTTCTCTGAATAAGTTGGATGGCATGGAGTCGGATTCCAACTCTGATAATAACATATTGTATTTTTTCCCCAGAGACAGTATGTTCATTTAAATATGTTTTAAAATATCTTGTCATAGTTTTTTGGAAAAGTTTGGACTCTCTCCCATACCACATTGATAGATGTTGTATTACAAAAGAAGAGTTTTACATCCTTGACACTTGAGAATCACTGACTCAGACAGATGAGTGTATAAAATTACCATTTGAAATGGAAACTTTAAAAAAGCATCAAACTCATAGAAAGAGAGAGTAGAAAAGTGGTTGCCAGGGGTTTGGAGGTGGGGGGAAAGGGAGAGATTGGTAAAAAGGTACCGATTTTCGGTTATAAGATGAATAAGGTCTGAGGATTTAATGTGCAACATGATGACTATAGCTGATAACACTGTATTGTATAACTGAAATTTGCTCAGAGTAGAACTTTAAATGCTCTCGCACAGACACAAAAAGATAAATATGTGATGTGATGGATGTGCTTATTAATTCTATGAATGAGTCTTTACACAATGTGTGCGTATATCCAATCATCACGTCGTACACTTTAAATATCTTACTGTTGTTATTTGACAATTATTCCTTAATAAATCCTTATAGATAGATGGTAGATAAATAGATAAGATTACCATTTGTAGCCTCACTTTTATCTCCTATTTGAAAGCCGAAAGGAACTCATCCCCCTTATGTTATTTGAAATATTTGAAAATACCCTTTGGTCCTGTGCTTGTTGTCCCAGACTGCCTCTGAAGCATGAATGTTTTTCTTTCTCTTGTACAGAATCCCAATGCTCATCCAAGGCCCACCTCCCAGGATTTGGCGGGGTTCTGGGACATGCTGCAGTTGTCCATAGAAAATATTAGTATGAAATTTGATGAACTTCATCAGTTAAAGGCCAATAATTGGAAACAGATGGATCCTCTTGACAAGAAGGTAGAACAATGTAGATTTTGTATGGTTCATTTAAAAACCTGCACAAACACTGGACAGTCTAAATAGGCTTCTGCATTCAGTCTTGCTGTTTACAATGTGAAATGGAGCTGATATCATATTAATCTCATTGTAATGACAATGTTTACATAGTAATCATTTGGGATATTATCTGTAATATGTTTCAGGCATATTTTTAAAGAAAAACCTGTCTTTGTGAATTGGAAAATGGGAATGTGGCTTTTTTGTTAATTAAACTTTAAGTTAAACCATTTTAGTCACTGGAAGGAACTGCCTCCATTTTGCTTTTTAAACTAAAATAAATGACATCTTCAGTGCATGATTACATAGAGCAAGAGTTCAACTTCCTTACACCCCTAGGATGTGTTTCGGAGAAAAATAGGAAGCCCTGAAAACTAACTGACTTTGATAATCATTTCATAAATATAGTATTATAAAGAAACCACTGTTGTTCAAGTTTAAAAATATACACCATAAAGTTTCACAGTAATCATAAATGTTGGGATTTTTTTTTTTAAAGAGTTTTACTTTGGGTTGATTTGCCTTCGGGACTATTGCTCACTGGGTTTCTCATTCAACAGTCTAGAAATAAAGACTCAACTTCTCTTACTTTAATGAATAAACTGCAATTTTCACATTTGATTATTGTGGCTCTACCAGGCTCACACAGGTATCCAATATCCACCTCCCTAGGCTGGCCTGTCATGCTTGACTTTTTTAACCCTTTGCTTTCCTATGGCCTGAGGTCAAACAGTTCTGAGAGATTCATCTTCTAAAAATTAGGCTTGGCTTTTCCCATGAAGCACTGGTAGCCATGCCCTTTTCAGATGTCCTTACCTATCAGAGAGCTAACAGTAATCCAGTCCATTCTGCTGCTCTCCATCATAGTATCCAGGTTCATAGAGTCAGTAGACTCCCAGGAGAACTCCAGTGCCCAGGGCCATGCATAATTGACAGGAGGGTTATTGTCATTGTTCCTCCTCTCCAATGCTGTCACCATCAACCTGGGGGTTTTTAGTGCTAAGCATTAAAGTACCATTGATATATGTGTGGCCTCTCACTTGGGAAGCCAGACATTTGCACTCCATCTAGTTTTCTTTAATCTGTGTTTAAAACTGTCTACTAAATAAGCTTTTAAATTGTTCTTATTTGAAGAAAACACTACAGATGTACACATATACTGGTAATTTAGTTTCTAGAGCTGATCCATCTAATTTCTCATTCACTGATTTTTTTTCCAATATTACTGTTTTTTTTTAAAGTACAAGTAAAGGAAGATATGACTAAACAGTTTCCAATATTCTTACTTTTCAAAATATCACAAGTTACCCAACAGTGAAGATTTAAAGTGTCCAAAAATTGTGATGCTAAGAATTGACATATGTACCCTATTGATGTTTACACAGTGAGTCATTAGTGAACTGGATTTCTAAATTTTTATACACTTCACCTATGACCAGAGCTTTTCAGCACTCCACAAATTTGCGGGGAAGACACAAACGAGCACAAAGTTGGCCAAATATCGTTTGCACTCTGTACTTCCCTTTTCTGTCCACCCAGACTCCACTTTAAACAGCCTGCGGGCAACTCCAATGTAATAAATTTATCCAGGCACTTCACCCAGGCGAGTGAGGAGGATTTGCGGCAATGTGTGTAAGTGTTAAGACACAAAGAGTGCCCCTGGAGAATCAGAGAAACCCTATTTTAAGATAACCTTCACAGTTGTGTCATGAGAATTGAACTATTTCACTAAAAATGAAAACAACAGATTCACGTGGACCTTTTTGGAGCCTGAAAGCTCACCAACCTTAAAAATTCCTTTGTGGTTTAGATTTGCTTCTTTCCCACTGCATTTTTTTTTTCCTGCGACCCAAGTGTTGAATGGCTTTTGTTTTTGCAGTGGCATTTAAAAATATCCAACCATTTCATAGTTTGCTGATGCTGAGGGGGAACTTCTTTCAGTCCTGTGTTAAATTTTCACGGCACAGTGTCCGTCCCTGTGACTGGAATTGCCTTCTGGGCCACCACAGCCATCCTGAGGCCCCTAAGGAGCGACATCCCACTGGGATGTCTTAGAAGCTATCTTGGAACTGATTCCAGCCCTCCCGCCCCCCCTCCCCAAGCCACACCCCCAGAAAAGGAACTTTCAGTGTCCTCTCTCCAGGGTGACCCCGGAAAGTATATCTCTGTGTGTTTGTGTGTAATGTGCAAACGGCTATTATAACTCACTTTGGCATCAACAAAGCTAAAGAACACAATCTTATCATCTCTTCTTCCTCATCTGGCCATTCAGGTTTGGGTGGGCCCCGGGAGAGGGCGGGGATGTTTTTAAACTCTGAGCCGAGCTTGCGCCCGCTGCCTCGCCTCCTTAGAGGGGACGCAGAGTTCCCGGAGGCTGCTGCTGCCGCTGCCGCCCTAACCCATCTCTGGCACCTGGAAGAGTCTGGAGCCTCCAGAGGGAACCACACTAAATGTGCTGGGAGCCGCAGCCTTTCAGCAGGGGGCATTTTAAATACCCACATCCTTCCCTTGGAGAGACTAGTTCTGCAATTCAGCCTTACCCTTGGCCTTAAGCTAACAGGTATTCTTTTCTTTTTTTTTTTTTCCCCCGCAACTTTTGAATACCGAAGCCAGAATGATAAAGAAAAAAAATATATATATATGTGTGTGTATATATATATGTGTATATATATATATATATAACAGTGTGCAGATCAGAACTAACCACCCTTAGGTTAAAAAGAAAAAAAATGTGCGTGTTCTAACTACTGACCTATCCCAGTTTTCCCCAAGCTTGTCCTGAGAAGCTGTGTAATGTCCTGAACCTTCTGCTTTGATCAGGAGAGAAGGGCCCCTCCTCCAGTGCCAAAGAAGCCGGCGAAGGGCCCCGCGCCGCTGATCCGGGAGCGCTCGCTGGAGAGCTCGCAGCGCCAGGAGGCCCGCAAGCGCCTGATGGCCGCCAAGCGCGCCGCGTCGGTCCGCCAGAACTCGGCCACCGAGAGCGCCGAGAGCATCGAGATCTACATCCCCGAGGCGCAGACCCGGCTCTGAGCGCCCGGCCCCACCGCGCGCCCCGCCGCGCCGCCTCCGCGCTCGGTCCTCCCTCCGCCCCCCTGCCCGCCCTCCGAGCCTGTCCGTTCCGGAGCTCAGTGACTTCCACTGTCGCGGTGTAGTTGTCGGTCTTGCAGGAGCCGTCCCCCAGTATCCCCCCGCCGCCCGGACCGGTTTGCCCATGTTCTTCTCTTCTCCACCGAGCTTCGCCACCCGTACTGACGCGTCACCCTGCCTCATCCGGAGAGCCGGCCCTTTCTTTTCTTGGCAGAACCAAACCCACCTGTGTAGAAATGGCCCCTTTAGGTCGCCCACCAGCCTCAGTTCTCCCAAGCTAGTCTGTCCCTAGAGCTCAGCAATATAAAATCATAGGGTATTTCAGAAATCCAGTATCACAGGGTGATCCTTTGGGACTTAACCGTCTTCCACGTGAAAGAAACTAGGGCTCCGATTCCCTTTATTTCCCCTAAACGGTTATTATTTTGTAAAGCAGATGGAGCACTTTATTTCCAAGCTCAGAAATCACGCCATCTCACCGGAATCGATGAGTGACAATCCAAGAGGGGACCAAGTTGGGCCGGGGGTGGGGGACCTGGATGAGTAGTGGGGAAGGGAGAAGCAAAATCAGCAGGTGCTGGGGGTACCTGCTTCACTCACAGCTGCACAAACTGCCTCACTGTTACTCCATCAATCACTGCTTCAAATGTTTCAATCAGCAGAAGATTGTAAATTCGATCTTTCAGGGAAATTAATCTATTCTGAAAGGCAATAAAATGAAGAAAGGCAAGGAAGCACTGATAGTTTCAGATATACTACGTAAGGGGGATTTTCTTTTTGTCCTATTATTAAGAAAATTTAGACCTGAAGTGTTTTATCAACTTTTATTGTACTATGTGTATTATACTGTTATTGTGGTGGGGGTCTTTAAAGGGGAAAGTGTTGGTCCTCTTAATTTGTTAGTGTCCATCCTGGGGGGGCCTACCTAATTACACATATATTAAGTATACATTTGCTTAAGAAGTCCTGTAAATGGCAGCTAGGGTGTTTTCAGAGAGAAGTTTGGATTTTCCCATCATCCCTTTGAATGCTATACATCCATCTGTTGTAACCCAGTAGTTTGTAATGCCAGACATATTTTCTCCTTTGGTCTTCTTCTCTCACTACTATCCAGAGCCCTATCACACCCCAGCATAAGGATTGTGTCCTATGTCAAACAGATAAAATCAATTTCCTATCCAAGTAGATACGCAGCCTCATTCCAAAGAGCTGCCCCTCATCTTGAGGTCCCAGGTAGTGAGAGAAGAAATTTGGCCTAAAATGTTCAGCAACCACCAGGAAGGGGGGAAAAGTCATGATCCACAAGCACTGAAAGAAACCCAGGCATTTGGCGGAGAATGTGGATTTACGCTTTTAGTCATGACGGATGGGCAGTGTGCACTTTGCATCTAGCTGAAGTTATCTTTAAATGCCCTTACTCGTAGCAGTTTAAACATTTAGGATGTGGTGATCTTAAAGTATCACTGGCATTTTATGCCCAGCTCCCACCCCAAAGCATTATAAATTATCATTGAAAACTGACAGACTAAAAACACACATCTAATAAGCTTGCACCAGAGCTCTTTTAAAAAATACACTCTCGTAGCCAGGTGCTAATTTAATTTTATTTATGAAATTAAGAGAGGTGATGGGTTCTGGCAACAACTATTTTCACGGACATATTCTAAAACCACTAGGGAATTCGCTACCTCAGAGCCATTGATGCTTTGAGCTATCTTTATAAACAGGGCACAAATGTTTACTGCTGTGGTTTACAAGAAAAGGGCTACTAACTTATTTAAAAACCAACCCACCAACTTTTAACTGGAGTGAACAAAGCACCTCGAGTGCTTTACACAATTGGAGCTTACAGAGATTTTGAACTTCAAGTGTCCGCTTGTGTTAAAAAGAATATACCTTTGCTTTGCTTTGTAGCAGCAATGGAAGGTCACACAAAGTTTGCATCAAGTAAGGCCAACTGCCGCCTTGGGTAGCCTATAATCACATTCAATCCCGAAAATGACTTGGCACTCATAGATTAATGCGAAGGAAGCGACATCCACTGGAAGACCCATGTTCCCAACTACAGCTCCATGCCCTGAAGTAGAGATGAGATTGGGATTAAGAAATAGATTTCTAATATGATTCAAGATCATCCTACAGTATTTTCTTTGGAAACTGGTTTAGCCCAGGATATTTTAAAGAGAGACAAGAGAAGGCCTATTTATCTTGTCTATGTGAATGGTATTTGTATATTCATAAGCTATTTTTGGTAAGAATTTTAAATCTTTTAGCCGAATGCCTACAGGCATCATGACCTTTGCCTTCCTTAAAAACACAAATTGTACAAACACTTTATAAAAAGCTAATTATTGATCTTAAAACATGACCCCACATAAAGCTGCTTGTTAACCACTTGCCCCCTTAAGCTGACATCCATGAGCATAACCTTTGTTACATTGTTCTTTTTGATGTATTTGTAGAAATGTTTTTTAGTTCATAATGGAAAATGTATGTACCCTGAAAAATTACTTATTTTGTTTAACTTTGGTATAAAGCTGTTTGGGCATTTTCTTGGGGAGGGGGGTATTACAAAAGAAGTTTGTCTCCCACATCAAAAAACGTTCAAAGAAATTAAGTATTTATTATATTTTTTGCAGATGTTTCCATACAATTCACATAACCTTTTTGTAAAGAGAGATGAAGAAATGGATTAAAGATTTTTAATATTTGAAATGGTAAATAGAACTAATTTATTTGTAATATATTTCTGTTATTTATAGATGTTTCCTTAATGTTTTACTGTGCATTACCACTTTAATTTGAGCCTGATCCTTGTGAATTTACCATTTCTTTTTTAAAACATGTCTAGATGCATATTTTAAATAACTGGAATGTAAATCACTAGCATATCTGAATTCCCGATGTAATTTTTAAAAATTATTTTGGTTTGGGAAAAAAAAAAGATTCATTTGAAAGCCTTCAGATGGAGGGGTGGGGAACATTTTTATGGCTTTATGAAGTGGAATTTCATAGGCTTATTTACCTAGATTGTGTGTGGACAAAAAAAAAAATTGTAAATAGATGAATGTTTCCCATAATGTAAAAAGAAGAAATTAATAAAATAATAATGCACTGCTTTCAGGTCTGTGTGTTTTCACTACAAAGCCCTGCTTCTTCCAAAATATAATTATCTTTGGAGGGAATAATTAAGCAATTAAAAAACATCATTCTAACTTTCATTGTAACAACACATATGCTAGCCACTGTTGTCGGTAGACCTTGCATCCTAAGTAAGGGATCAAAACACTGAAAACCAAAAGGCCTTTTATTATGATGATCACATGCATATGAAAGTTTCAGGTCAGGAGCTGTATATTTCATGAAAGAAATTATTAGCCTCTCAAATATGTGCAAATTTGTGCCTATTTTACCCACTTGGATCTCTTCTCAAACATTTCATCCATTTTGTTTCCTACACAGCTCCTACACTTGGAAGATCAGAATAACGCTTTGTGGTTTATATTTCATGCCCGAAGTAATGAAAAACTATCCTCACTGAGGCTTAGTGACTTGCCCAGTGGGACACAATTATTAAGTGACAGATTTGGGTCCAAAATCTAAGCCTTTGTTCAGCCTCCTCTTCAGTGGGGTCTCTGTCCTTCATCCCACATTTAGAATTGATAATTATTTGCCACTGTCCATTTCCTCTGATTTTCATCTCGGTCATATTCATAAACCTTACTTTATATACAAAAATACAGATTTACTCCTCAAAAGGTAAATTAGAATGTTTTATGAGAAGTGGACTTACACATCTCTGAAAATGCCAAACTCTGTAACCTGTGTCCACAGTAGTTCTTCCCCACGAAGTTCTTGGGCAAACCCACCCATGTATATGCAACAAATGTGGAAATTAAGCAGATAAGCCAACATAAGCAAGAACTTTGCCTATTTCCAAAATAACACGATGTACTTTTGAAACTTTCAAAAGAGGATCGATCAAGTGGCTCAATCTCTGTGAAACCGCAAAGATCTCATTACCTGGGTTCATGCACTGACTATTCATGAAGTGTGAACCGCGATTATACTTCTTGCCTTTTACCAAATTAATTCTTATATTTCACTGGGGCTTCTTAAACATTTTGGCCAATCCCAAAACAAAACGAGTTTGTCTTCGCCTGTAAAACTCTGAATTTCAGTAAAGCAAATTTCAACTTCTCATGTTACAGGGTCCACTCCCCCCCAAAAATGTAATTTTATTTTTTATAGACATTGAACAAAATTGTTTGCTCTAAACATGAAATTTTTTTAGTATCTTTGAAAGCCACCCCTTGAAAATACAAATTGATTTTGGTTTAAATAAATGGCATGTTAAAAATCATAGCGTCTGAATGTGTTCATTCTCAAATGTCAGTGATACTAAAGGGTCTGAAATGTACCTGAGTTTTGCTCAATAGGCTGTTTGACTTTCAGCTGCTAAACCAAGATCAGATCAGCTCCTTTTGCAAACAAACTGGTGACCGTGTCTGAAAACCCTCTCTGAGTCCCAACTCATTTACTGTGAGTTTACATAGTAGGTCTTAAATTCCTCTGTAAGTCACTCATTATCTCCCCTAAAGCAAAGAGAGGAAATTGTGTGCTGCTTCCTGGTCCCTATGCTTCCCTCCGGGCTTACTGCTGGCTTAGGGAGACATCACCGGACAGTCACAAGAATGTGAAACCCCAGTACCGGTGGTTCCTGATTCCTGGTTCTCCATTTAGCTTGCGAATGGATTATTTCATTATGTTTCTATGAAAATGAACACAAGCCTGAATTTATAGAAAATGGCTGAAAGCAGGAAAGCCCTCTGATAAACACCAGAAGTCAAGCTTTGCCATGTAGCTGATTCAACTGGCTTTCATTGCACCCAATGTTTTCATTAGTACGTTTGAAGGCTGCCCTTCTTCCTCCTCACACTTCCTTCTGGGAGAAGTAGATGCTAATTTCCTCCTTCCAGATTACTTGATACGCAAAGCATTGTCACAGAGAGCTTCCACAGAGATCACAATAAAGAGATTTTTCCATAGAAGAATTCACCTTTTCACTTTGGAAAGAGAGAAAGGGAAGCAAATAGTCATAGTTTCCTCTTCTGTTACAAAGGAGGAAAAAGCGTTCTCCCTATTGACACTAAGGAAGGTGATATACAACAATTACAGGTTTTGTAGGCTTAAATCCTGGTGCTTTCACTGCTTCTGGGGGTCAATGCTCTGCAAATAGAAAATACTCCTGCTGAGCTAGCCTTCCGAGATTTGCAGACATAGTCATCAGTTGATGAGCCCTTCCTTCTTCCGAGGGCTTTCAAATCCAATGCCTGCCAGCGGTATCTATTACGAAAAATGAGGAGAAACATCTGGGGAGTTAGATAATACTATACGGATGGCCCCATAAAGTATAGTGGAGGAAACATCTCTCCAGATTAAAATAAAAACATTTTACTAACTTTCAAAGAGGGCCCATTTGAAAGGATTTTTGGTCCTAGGGAATAACCTCTTGCTATTGAAATGTTTATTTACTTCTGTAAATTATAATTATAATTATTTTTTTTTTTTTTGGTAATCTCTACCCCTAGGTGGGGCTTGAACTCACTACCCCGGGATCAAAGGTCCAACTGAGCCAGCCAGATACCCCATTAATTGCATTTTTAAAAATACCAGCTTTGTCACATCATTTCCTTTCCAGAATAAGCCCTTGGCCAATACAAGGTCTGTCTGTAACTCCCAAGTGTGAGAAGAAGCAGACCTCAAAGGCAGAACTTAAACAAAGGTAAGCAGGAGATAGGTTAAATAATTTACTCTTCGATTCCTTTCCAGTTTGATTTAATGTAACACATTGATCAACAGCCTCCCCCCTCCCCAGCATGCTCAGTGAAGAGCTTTTCTCTCCTCTACAGCCTGGCCTCTCGCCAGAGCAGTACCTGGGAGATCTTGGTGAGCCTGGCACTTCCAATGTTGAGCTTGACAAGCATGAAAGAGCAACTCAAGGACTCCTGAATTGTTTCTTACATCAGTCAAGCAAGGCAATGAGTCTGAAATGATTGAAGGACGATCCTTTCAAAAGAGCTGGTGTCTTCGTGTCCAGGCTTGAGTTGGTACACCAAGGATCCCTTGGGTAGCAGACTGTTCAGAATGAAATCTTACAGAGAAAGGAAAAAACTGATCGATAGTTTGGAAAATTAGAACAGTGGAGAGATGTTGGCACAGGAAAATGGTTTTTTTTTTCTTAATTGAGTGTGAGTGAGTGTAAAGCGCTTTGTAAATAGCAGTAAAGTGAGGTATAATTATTCAGATAATTCTGAGTAATTCTAGAGACAAAGAAAAAAGTAAAACACCCTAACCATGCGAGCCTAAGATGTCTCAGCATTAGACTCTTCAGGATCTGCAAGTGGCTGAATTCATCATGTAGTTGTTCTCAAGGGCCCTCCATTTTTTTATTATTATAATGTTATGTTAATCACCATACATCACATCATTAGTTTTTGATGTAGTGTTCCATGATTCATTGTTTGCGTATAACACCGAGTGCAAGGGCACTTCATTTTAAGATAGGTTAAGAGAAAGCCAAGGACTAGCTATTCTTCCAGCAAAGGCAACACATTAGAATTGGGTTAAATATTCAACTGAGAGAACTTGGGTTAAATATTAAGGAAATGCTTACCTGAGGAAAGTACGAGGTCTTGACTACCCTGAGAACCTTAGTGTATCATCCTGAGAGAAGTTACTCTGACAATGGTGTTGCCTCATTAAAGAGGGCAAGTCCCCGAATGGCTCTTAGTATTTAAATTTGTTTATTAGGGGCACCTGGGTGGCTCAGTCAGTTAAGCATCTGCCTTCAGCTCAGGTCATGATCCCAGGATCCTGGGATGGAGCCCGATGTAGCGCTCCCTGCTCAGTGGGGAGCCTGCTTCTCCCTCTCTCTGCCCTCCCCCTGCTTCTGTTCTCTCATTGTCTGTCAAATAAATAAAATCTTAAAAACAAATAAATTTATTAGATAATAAATGCAGGTCTCTCACCCCCTCCACACCTCATAATCCCTGTTGGCTTCAGCCCAAAGTAATAATTTTCAAGCAGCGTTTCTGTTCAGCGACTCCAGATTCACAAGCAGAGAGGATCCAGCTGGGAGGAAACAAGGGCAGAGGGAAAGTCCCCACACCGTCCAGGGGAAAGACCCATGTGACATTTTGATTGTAATATTCTGACGTGGGGTTGGGTAGGAACATGTTGCCATAGGCTTACAGATATTTCCAGCATTTCTCTTAGAAACTAGACTGACTCTCTGATCCGCTTCAGAATTGTGCCGTGAGTGGGCCTGTCTGTCCTGCAGGGACAGGGCCATTCTGCAAGTGGGAAAGAGCTCAGGTTGTGGCCAGACCACCTGTGTTTGAATCCCAGCTCTACCACTGACAAGCTGTGTCTTTGGGGGGCAAGTTACCTAACCTCTCTGTACCTCAGTTTCCCCACCTGTATGATTAGGATGAAAATAGCCCTTACCTCATAAGGTTGTTCTAAGGATTAAATAAATCAACACATGAAAAGCTCTCAATATGGTGCCTGGCAAATGGTAAACACTCAAAGGTTCACTCCCCTTATCACCATCATCACCATTATTATTACACATTTACATTTGCTGGGAAAGTGCCTTGTGTCCTGGCTATATTGCTTCATATGCAGTTCGCAGCTTAATCTTCAAGTAACCCTCAGATTGAGGTAGTCACTACAAGTAACTTACAGAGACTTTAGGGAGCGCCCCAAGGTCCCTGGTAACTGACAGAGCTAGTCTTTCAATCCCATCTAACTCTAGATTCTTTGTTCATATATGTACGATTTGTGCAAGCAAAGCCACGTATCTGTCGTTCTTTTACTGGTGAAAAGGTACATATATGAAAATTTCAAACAGAACAAAAGGGTAGACGTTGAAAATAAGCCTATTTTTCGCTTCAGTTCTTTTCTGCAACATTCAACATCTTTGAACAATTTATTGTTTTTCCTTTTGAAATTTATCTATGCATACTCAAGCATATGTATTTTTTTATTTCCCCACAAACATGAAGCATACTAGACACATTCCTTTATTGTTTGCTTTCCTTCATTTAATGATGTG